GTCTAAGGGAGTCTAGGGAATGATGGAGCATCAACTGCACAAGAACATGAAGAATCACGTGTTTATATGAGCTATAGTCTAAACTCCTTAAAGGGGGTTATATAGGGGATTATATAGGGGACTACTATAATGGATACTAGGGGGGATACTAGGAGTTTAGACTATAGCTCATATACCTTCAGACTTTTAAGCGGTTTATGGTTCCAAAACTAACAAGTAGATATATATCGCAGCGTAGGGTTTCTTACATAAGTGGTCAGTTATTGGGGTTTGTTTCACATGAACACAGCACTTACAGACAGCGAAGCAAGTCAAAACATGTCAAAGCCAGCACTATTGGTTTCCTTAAGTATAAGAGCGCATGTTCATGGATTACGATCATCGTATCATTGCAGCCCCAGAAACCAAACATCATGACTTTCGTGAATTTTGGGATGATGATACCGCCGGGTAAATCGTTACGCGTTGCTAGCATACGGGTCTCCCTATACACTGAGAAATCACCTTAGCAATGGGGGGCCGTGGTGATGTTTGGGGGGAGAGGTAGAGTATAGGGTAAAAGTCTATGGGCCGGTTGGTGGTGTTATTGCTCAACTTGAACAATTTTTTTTGTATTCAGGAACGCTGCTTAGCTTTTGGAGACTGCGAATTATACATATATATATATATATCTCTCTCTCTCTCTCTCTTTGTAGGGAGTCCAAAGTTCCTGCTCCTCTGAAGCTGTTTTGCAGGCGTCTGCCCTACATGCGCTCGTACTGGCCCACCAAGCTCGGGACTGCGGGTTGCTGTGATACCAAGCTCAAACAGCTTCGACCCTTCCGAGGGTTTAGGGTTTAGGGTTTAGTAGGGAACATGGGAATATAGAGGTTAAATGGGGATAACGGAAAAATGGAAGCTACTACATTATAATAGGGGATGTATTGGGGGTTATTTGAGCTATAGTCTAAACTCCTAGATCCCCCTTAACATCCCCTATAGTAGTTCCCCATATAATTTGTTGCCAATATCGCCCCCCCTTGAAGGAGTTTAGATCCCAAACCCTCCCTAAATCCTAAACCCTATATAATCCCCTGAATAACCCCCTTGGTAGCTCATTTTAACTGGGACGGGTAGAATTCCGTCTTCATATGCCAGCAGGACGAGAAGACTGCGGCTTTGCAAGCCGCAGAGCAGGCTGCAGATATCTACAAGGACAAAGCCGGGGGGAGGGGTTTAGGGTTTAGGATTTAGGGGGGAAGGGTTATGCTGCTAAGAGGTTTCGGTTATATATACAAATATATATATATATATATAGGGATAATGGAAAAGAAAATGGAAACTACTATAGTATATTGGGGGTTATACTGGGATAATGGAAAAGAGAATGGAAACTACTATAGTATATTGGGGGTTATATTGGGATTG